CTCCTTCCTGGGGTTGCTGCTGCTCTGGTCGTCGCTCGCGCCCCGCGCGGAGGAGCCCAGCCCGGGCGGCCGGATTCGGGTGAGTCGCTGATTCGGAGCTGGTGGCGGAAGAGAGAGAGGGGGGGTGAATGTGTGTGTGAATGTGTGTGGTGTGTGCGCCCGCGTGTATGTGCGTGTGTGTGTGTGCTGGGAGGGGGGAGGTGGGGTGCTGCCGCACGGACCACTTGCCGGCACTCCCGCCCCCTCCCACCTCGAGCGCCGCCGACGGAGCGGGAGCCCTCCTTCTCTCCTGCTCCGCCGGGGTCGGGCCAGGAGGGGGCGGCTTGGGCTGCTGCCGCGACTGCCACTGCCCAGGCTGCGGCCTGTGGCGTTGGCAAGGCCTTGGGAAGGGGACGCTGCCGAGCGGCTTCCGAGACGGGGAGCTCTCGCCACCCAGGGGCGCCCCCTCGCCGTCTAGGAACGGGGCTGGAAACCGCCCGGCTGTGCCTCTGAGGCAGGCAGGCGAGCAGGCGGCGCTGGTGGAGGCAGCCCTCCCTCCCTTCCTTCCGGAACGCTGCCCGCCTCCATGCGACCCCCCTGACACGATTAAGGGCAGGACGTTGCCCTTAACAGGCCCCAAATGTCTGGGATGGGGGGGGCAGAAGGAGCGGCCCTCGTTGAGATTTTAAGTCTCCCCTGCAACCTCCCTTAAGTCCCGGCGTAATTGGGATTGTTAAAAGTTGACTGAGAGGGAGGCATACAGTACTTCCTTCTTAGGAGGGCTGAGGGTCAGCTTTCCCTTTCATGTCATCTGCAGAGGCAATTCTCAGCGCCTGTTAATTCAGAATACATTTCGTTATCCGTCTTGTTTTACTCCTAATAATTCGTTACAGATACACTGGAGACATAGTGCAAAACTTTTCACTTTAATTATTGTGAGGCGATGTGCTCTTTTAAGCATGGGCACTAACTAGGGCTTTGCCCTGGTGTCTCATTTAAACCAGGTCACCTCACCCACGTGTGTGCTCTCAGCATGCCAGGGATTTGTAGCCCAGCAGATCCTGTTTTGGCATGCTTACGGATGTGCCCTTTTAGGTTAGTGATGTGTTCTTACTCAGAAATAAGTCTGACTGAATTATGTGAAACTTTGTCTCAGAAATACAGTAAATGCAAAATGTGTATACTATAGGATTGCAGCTCAGAGGCTGTTTTAGAGTGGGTCCTTGCTAAGCTTTAGGCATGTTTATCTTGCCTGTCTGATATCATTTTTAAAATTGTGCTGAACTGAATAAGGTTCATGACGTTAACTTATCCTGAGCATGAATTCTGTGATGCTTAATGAACCTTCGGTAGGGTTGTTGTCTCTTCTTTGTGACTAGTCTTGCACCTTGTGACACAGAGAAATTAAACAGGTGCTCCTTATTTCCAAGCCAGGGAAAGCTTCGCCATTATATTTCTATGTGTTGGTTTGCTGCTAAAGGCATAGGAACACAGCCAGTTGAATAGGTAGCAACCATATCTAAAGCCAAAGAAGGATGTTGACTTTTTAAACTATCATACATGTTTGTGATACTATTAATTAAAATGACAAGTGTTCCTTCTTGAACGAAGCAGCATTGGTAGTGCATGCACAGTTTGTGCATCCTCTTAGCTGTCCTTCACTGTTTACGCATGAGCTGGACATAGCTTCCTTCACAATCATTATTAGGTGATAGGACATGTTTTTATTTTTTAACTTAGTGGCAAAGTTCTGACCCAGGCACATACAGTCCACATAACACAATATTTAACTGCTATTGGTATGTACTCTTAATAAGTGTCCCATCTCTGGGCTGATTTTAGCTCAGATCGAACACTTCTGAATTCTCCCCCTCTATAAATGCATTTAGGGGCCCAAGTTTTGAGAGTGCTTTGAACAGCATCAGTTTCTTTTCTCTGAGTCTTTCCAAATTGACCTCTGGCTAACTAAAGTCTGAAGAAATTGAATGAAGTTTAAAGGTCGTCTTAAATCATTACCTTAAATTAGGATCAGTGAAAGATTGTCTGTTAAAACTACAGGAGGAATGGGCAAATTGTTCATTACTGAGAATAGACTCAGATGGTGTTGTAAGCCAATATACACAGAAAATATACTAACATAGAGAAGCATAATATATAGACACAACATTTATGGGAGTGTAGTAACTACCATGTTAACTGCAGCTGTTGGATGGCGCATGACTGCTTTAACTCTGACTGGTGGAGAATTCCATTTGCAGTAAACTGTTCTTCCTGAAATGCCAGGGGTGGCAAGTTCTTTCTATCAACTGAATATTTTAATTGCTTGGGGCAACTGAGACTATTAAGATAACAAAGAACGAATGTTAACACAGAGAACATGAGCTTGGTAATAATAGGGTTAAAATGTTTTGTAGAGGTACTTTTTTGTCCTTTGACTTATACGCCTTTTTAAAGATTGTGTGAATTTTCAGGCTTTTGTGTACAGTAATGAAGTCTACAAGCTAACTTTCTGAAATATCTGAAATGTTTAAATCTTGGAATTTATAGAACTTTTCCAGGCTTCATTCACATGAGCCAGTGGCTTTGGTCGTACAAATCCTTCATGCACATCAGCTTCTGTACTCTTCTTACTGACAGAAGAATTAAAGCATGGAAGTCAACACGTGGGGGGTCCTTTTTGCTGTCAGTTTGTATAAACTTGATTTTCCACAAAAAAGTTGCTAGGCTATTGACTGATTCCTTCCTTCCTTGAGAGCATCTGTCATCTAGAAGAAAACACTTTTCCTGTATACACTAGTATAGTAGAGAGCTTGAAAACATCTTTGTAACATCCAAAATATGATCTTTCTTGAGAAGAAAAAGTTATATTCCTGCAGATTAAAAATATATATAAGAAAATTGCCTTCTGCTGAGCCATATCATTACTCCATCTTGCTGGCACTGGTTTGATGGTTTTTTTGGCAGTAGTTGTTCCTACCATGTGTTATTAGGTCCTACAAGGGAAAGAGGAAGCAAGGTCAAGGTTCCCGCCAAGCTGGGAACGTGCGCGTGCACAACTCCTCTTCCCTCTGTGCAGCTGTCTTAAGCAAGGTCAAGGTTCCCGCCAAGCTGGGCACGTGCGCGCGCACAACTCCTCTTCCCTCTGCGCAGCTGTCTTCCTCCTCCACACAGCGATCACATTAGGTTCCAGTTGTGTCACGTGCGCACACAAGGGTGAAGCTGTATTCGCTAGAGGCACAGCCCGCCCAGTGGGGCTGAATATTAGAGAGTATGTTCAGCAAGGCTATTGGCCACAGGTGTGTGACTGTGATAAGTTCTACAAATTTTAAAAAGTGCATGCCATTTCCTGCATCAAAATATTTTCACCCTTCTTCCAATGTTCCCTCTAATTTTATCGTAGTGCTGGACGGCGGTGCTGCCTTGCACATGTGACGTTCTGGCCGTGACCAGAAAAAATGGGCAGTAACATTGGTTTGTCTATGCAGAACCAATGCAGCACGGCATGGCTGCACAGCTTAGAGGGAACATTGACCTCTTCCCAAACAATGGGAAATGGCCTAGGCCTCTTGGAGGCATGTTCAATATATGAACCTTATATGTGCAGGTCTTGAGGATTGGACATGAGACTTTCTGCATGCAAAACATGTGCTCTTTGACTAAGTGATGGCTGCTCTCCAAGATTTTCCCTAAGGAAGTGCTTAGTGCTGTTGGCTTTTGTTCTGTGTAAACCCAACCAGAGAGATTACTGTATGTAGGGTAGCACTGTTAAAGGAATATTTTATGAGCTCCCAGCTGAAGCAAATAAGGAAATCCATTTCTGATGAAAATTACATGTAAAACATCCTTTGTCATTGTAGTAAAGAGAAACTGCTGAGACCCCCATGTGGTGGAGAGCAAAGGCTGAATTACTGGGATTTGGCCTTAGGCTTGCGTCTTGCCTACTATGTGCTAATCTGTAAATGTAGCAGAGCACATGAATCAGGATTAAAAGCCTGATTAATTCTGTGTGTTCTACAAAGCATATGGACAGGGCTTGAAAAAATTTAGAATGTCTCACCACTCAGTCAGAAATTTCACTATTGAGCTTGAGTGGATTATAGCCTTGTAATTTATTGGGATTGGGAATCACTGATTTATATCCTCAGACTTGGGTTGCTTTATTACCTGTGTGCTTGTGGGGTCATGAAGCTTGTATTTTGAATGCCTTTCTTTTGAATGTCTCCAGCAAAAATAAAACTGAAAGCAAAAGCGCCCGGCCTCTTAAGGAGCCATGGTTTCCTCCCACCCCAGGATGTGTCCCCGTTTGGTTGAAATTGGGAGCATGGAATCTCCATATTTTCCAGCATGGGCCTATTCTACATTCTCCTGCAGAGCTATATCTGTATATACCTCTCAAACTCTCTTCTCACGAGAAGAGGGCACTTTTCCTTTTTCAATGGGAGGGGGGAGGGGAGGACTGCAGGATTAGAGAGAGAGAGAGAGAGAGAGAGAGAGAGAGAGAGGCGGAGGGGAAGGAGGCAGAGAGGGAGGGAGCTGTGACTTATCAAGCAGCATTTTTCACTCTTCACAGACGAGTGGACGAGTGCATTTTTCAAGCCCTGCCTATGGAAAATGATTATACTTTTGAGTTTTCTCTGGAGAAAACCATGATTTTTGTAGCTGCAATTCCATACGGTGGGATCTACCTGAACAATGGACTGCTCATTGTTGGGCTGGAGATGGCATGTGTAAATAGGTATCCAGCACTAGAATCCTGTTTTTAAAAAATAATTGTTTAATAGTAAACTGTGTTCTTTTGAAGCAGTGTGGCATGAAATTAGTTTACTAGTAGTTCTTTGAAAAAACAACATCCTCACTAATGTGTTATACACATGGATAGAGCACTGATCATGAGAGGTAATAAGTGCAGTTCCAGCTGTGTGGGTGAAAACTCTCTCTGCTGATATGATATAGGAAATGGGAAGGAACAACAAACTCAAACAGGGTCATAAATCACAGCTTTTTGATACCTATGTGACTTATGAAATCTTAAACAGCTGAGCATTTTGGTTGCAGAATTTTCTCTTCAGCATGTATTGCCAGCAGCTTGTAAACATGGTA